ATCCTATCCTATCCTATCCTATCCTATCCTATCCTATCCTATCCTATCCTACCTTCCATCCATATCTATCTATCTATCTATCTATCTATCTATCTATCTATCTATCTATCTATCTATCTATCTATCTATCTATCTATCTATCTATCTATCTATCTATCTATCTATCTTTCCTATCCTATCCTATCCTATCCTATCCTATCCTATCCTATCCTATCTATCTATCTATCTGTCTATCTGTCTATCATCTACCTACCTACCTACCATCAAGGTAAATTGATATTCTCAGCTTCAAAGCAGCCTCCATTCCTGCAGGCTACGGAGGCCTCCGGCGGGTGCTGTTTTCCTGCCCTTGGGAGCAGTGAGGCTCTCCGGCCATTGTCTTCTGCTCCCCTCCCCCGTAACAAGCTGCTCCCTAGCCAGTGGATTTCTTTTTGGTGAACCTGATTATATCCCTTGTAATCAACCTCAATTTCCTCCTAATTGCTTTCTAATCCCCATTAAAAGCTGCTTGCGAAAAGTCACATAAACGTCAGGGGGTCCTTTCCGTGGGCAGCATCCCAACAAATAAAATTGAAAACATCAGAGCATTCGAGCACCCAGCGTTAAAGAACATGGATCCTCCAGCTTTCTTTTTTAAAAAAAGCAAAATAATACCCTGTAATAAAAGCAGCCTGGACAAGAAAATGGATTGTTATACAGTCAATAGCATCAGAACTGACGGCTGCAGTCTATAATTTGGATGTGGGAGAATTAGCAAATAGGCAGTCAGCCAGCGTGTTTTCTTGGGTTTACCTTTCTTTCTTATCTTGGTGCGTCCCTCAAAATGTTGGGAGGAAGGAAGGAAGGAAGGAAGGAAGGAAGGAAGGAAGGAAGGAAGGAAGGAAGGAAGGAAGGAAGGAAGGAAGGAAGGAAGGAAAAATGAGAAGGCAGGAGAATGAGAAAAAGAAAAAGAAAGAAAGAAAGAGGAAAGAAAGAAAGAAAGAAGGAAGGAAGGAAGGAAGGAAGGAAAGAAAGAAAAAGAAAGAAAGGAAAGAAAAAAAGAAAGAAAGGAAAGAAAGAAAGAAAGAAAGAAAGAAAGAAAGAAAGAAAGAAAGAAAGAAAGAACGTGGAGAAAAGCAAAATTTTACATTTATGCAGGAAAAATCAAAGGCACAAATACAGACTGGGAGAAACCTGGCTTAAAAACAGCAACTGTGAGAGGGACCTGGGAGTCCTAATGGACGATCACTTAACTTTAAGCCGCAGTGTGCAGCAGCAGCCAAAAAAGCTAACACAATCCTGGGTTGTATAAACAAGCATAGAATCAAGATCACACGAAATATTAGCACCGCTTTATAAAACCCTAGTGAGACCACACCTGGAATACTGCAGCCAATTTTGGTCACCATATCACAAAAAAGACGTTGAGAGTTTGGAAAAAAAATCAGAGAAGAGCAACTAAGAGGATCCAAGGCCTGGAGACTAAAACATACGAAGAACGACTGCAGGACTTGGGATTGGCCGGTCTAAAGAAAAGAAGAAATAGGGAAGATAGGATAGCAGCCTTCCAGTATTTGAGGGGCTGCCACAAGGCAGAGGGGGCCAGGTTGTTCACCAAAGCACCAGAGGGAAGGACGAGAAACAATAGTTGGAAACCAATCAAGGAGAGAAGCAACCTGGAATTAAGGAGAAACTTCCTGACAGTGAGGACAATTATCCAGAGGAACAGCTTGCCACCAGAAATCATGGGTGCTCCATCACTGGAGATTTTTAAGAAGGGGCTAGACAGTCACTTGTCTGAGGTGGTATAGGACAGGTTCTCCTGTTTGAGCAGAGGGCTGGACTAGAAGACCTCCAAGGTCCCTTCCAGCTTCTATTCTATTCTATTCTATTCTATTCTATTCCATTCCATTCCATTCCATTCTATATCCATTCCATTCTCTATTCTATTCTGTTCTGTTCTGTTCTGTTCTGTTCTGTTCTGTTCTGCTCTTATTCTATTCTATTCTATATCCATTCCATTCTCTATTCTATATCCATTCCATTCTCTATTCTATTCTATTCTGTTCTGTTCTGTTCTTATTCTATTCTATTCTATTCTATTCTATTCTATTCTATTCTATTCTATTCTATATCCATTCCATTCTCTATTCTATTCTATTCTATTCTATTCTATTCTATTCTGTTCTGTTCTGTTCTGTTCTTATTCTATTCTATTATATTCTATATCCATTCCATTCTCTATTCTATTCTGTTCTGTTCTGTTCTGTTCTTATTCTATTCTATTCTATTCTATTCTATTCTATTCTATTCTATTCTATTCTATTCTATTCTATTCTATTCTATTCTATTCTATATCCATTCCATTTTCTATTCTATATCCATTCCATTCTCTATTCTATTCTGTTCTGTTCTGTTCTTATTCTATTCTATTCTATTCTATATCCATTCCATTCTCTATTCTATTCTATTCTATTCTATTCTATTCTATTCTATTCTATTCTATTCTATTCTAATGACCTCTGGGTGGCAGCAAGGAGAAGCCGCTTTTACCCTCTGCTGCCCTCTGGGGACAGACCATAGCATTGCAGCTCAGGTATGATGGACGGCAACTTTTGGCTCACGGTCTCTCTTGGCCTGTGTCCAGGGCACAAAGATAGCCCTTTGGTTTCCCCTTTGTGTGTTCCTTCTCTCCTTGCTGCTGAGAGGAGCTGCTCTTTTATGGCGTCCGTAAACGTCCCCTCCAGAAATCTCCTCCACCATATTTATTTATTTCCTTTCCATCAAACATCGGTTTGATCTCTCGTGCTTCTCTTGCTCCGAGAAAGCTTCCGAACTCTGCTTTCTCCAAAGCTTCTTTTTCTTTTCTTTTCTTTTTTCTTTTAAATACATTTTCATTAGAACGTCATTAGCATTTTTCGATACGGTAAAAGTACACAAAACCAAAACAACAACAACAACAACAAAGATAGAAAGCGCCAAACAAAAAAAGAACGGGAATGAAAAAAAAATAAACATACGGTTCATGCCTTTATTTCTATCCAGCGATTGTCGGTCCAAGTTAATTATTCGTTGCCACGAAAACCACTCAACACACCGTTCAAAGGGGGAAAAAAAGAGGAGAACCGAACGCACGAATCAAAGCTAAAAGAATAATATGGAATTTTATTGTCCCTATTGTTACCACTCCAAGCTATATCTCTAGCATCAAAAAAATACATTAATTTAAAAAACCCACAGAATATTATTTGTATAAAACTGAGACAGGAAGCTAAAAAATGTAAGATAAAAGGGCTCGCAGAGCAGATTTCCTTACGAACAGTCTCAAAGTTGTTTAAACTTGTTTATATCTCACACTTCTTAACCGCCCATCTGCCTCAGAGCTGGGCTCCGGGTGGCATCCAATTTAACGTTAAATGCTGGGAATTAAATCCAAATTCTCTGGTGTTCAGCTCTTCTGCAACACACGGGCACCTTATCCTATTTCTGAAAAATAAAATAAACACACACACAAACACACACACACAGGGAGAGAGACTTAATCCTCTCCGTTTCTTGAAAGACCTGCAAACTATGCCAAGCCCGGTGTGATAACGCAATGTTGTTGCTGCTGCTAGAGCTTCTCTCCCTCCGGGCGAAGTTTCCTAACCGCATTGAACTCCTGGTGGAGTCCGGAGGCGATCCGGATTAAAAGAAAAGAAGAAAAGAAAGGCGCTAAGCCGATTTCAAAGGAGCGATAAATCCCTTCCCGGTTCCAGCGGGAGAAGCTGGATATCGGAGCTGACGTCTTGCCTGCTTTTCAAGAGTGGGAGAAACTAGAGAGACTCGACGACTTAACGACCGCAATCGGCCCCCAAAATTACGTTGTTAAGGGAGAGATGGCTTACGTGGGTTTTGCCCCATTTTACGACCGTTCGTGCCACCGTTGCGAAGCGAATCCCCACAGGTGTTAAAGTCAGGGACACGGTGGTTAAGTGACTCTGGCTTCCCCCGTTGTAGAAGGCCGCAAAAAGGGGATCGCGTGACCCCCCTGGACTCTGGAACCGTCATGAATCCGAGTCAGTTGCCGAGCGTCTGAACTTTGATCACGTGACCACGGGAGAGGCTGTGACGGTCGTAAGTGTGAAAAACGGTCCTAAGTCACTATTTTCGGTGGCGTTGTAACTTCGAACAGCCACTAAACTAAACGATGGGTTGTAAATGGAAGACAGGACAGGATTCCTCTATCTCGTCTTTTGCATTGGAGAGAAATTCCATGTGTGCTAATCACACTTGGCCAAGTGGAGTATCTTGTCCTCTTCTATTCTCTGTTTTCTGTTCTCTGTTCTCTATTCAGTTCTATTCTTGTGGACTTCAACTCCCAGAATTCCTCAGCCAGGCACACTGGCTGAGTAATTCTGGGAGTTGAAGTCCACCAGTCATCAAAGGGCCAAGTTTGAAGACCCCTGATATAGACTTTAAGAGGAGTGGACTTCAACTCCCAGAATTCCTCAGCCAGCGTGCCTGGCTGAGGAATTCTGGGAGTTGAAGTCCACAAGCCATAAAAGGGCCAAGTTTGAAGACCCTTGATTTATCATCTATTCTACTGTATCCTGTCCTATCCTATCCTGTCCTATTCTAGTCTAATATAGTCTATTCTTCTCTCCTGTCCTACCTTACCTTACCTTACCTTACCTTACCCTACCCTACCCTACCCTTTCCTTCCTTCCTTCCTTCCTTCCTTCCTTCCTACCTATCTCTATCCTATCCTATCCTATCCTCCCTCCCCATCCATCCATCCATCCATCCATCCATCCATCCATCCATCTATCTATCTATCTATCTATCTATCTATCTATCTATCTATCTATCTATCTATCTATCTAATCTTTCCTATCCTATCCTATCCTATCCTATCCTATCCTATCCTATCCTATCCTATCCTATCCTATCCTATCCTATCCTATCCTCCCTCCTATCTATCTATCTATCTATCTATCTATCTATCTATCTATCTATCTATCTAGCTAGATAGCTAGATAGCTAGATAGCTAGCTAGCTAGCTATCTCCCTCCCATCCATCCATCCATCCATCCATCCATCCATCCATCCATCCATCCATCCATCCATCCATCTATCTATCTATCTATCTATCTATCTATCTATCTATCTATCTATCTATCTATCTATCTATCTATCTAATCTTTCCTATCCTATCCTATCCTATCCTATCCTATCCTATCCTATCCTATCCTATCCTATCCTATCCTATTCTTTCTGTTCTGTTCTGTTCTCTGTTCTCTATTCTGTTCTATTCTACGCTGTATTATTCTGTCTATCATCTATTCAGTTTTGTTCCTTTCCGTTCTATTCCACATGTGACCCCGGGGGGACGCTGCAACGGTCGTGAGGGTGAAAATCGGCACGGAGTCACTTTTTGCAGTGCTGTTGTAACCTCAGACGGTCACTAAAAGAACCGTTGTAATTCGGCCATACTTTCTAACACTCCTTCTGACCTTCCCTCCTGTCGGTGGGAGGTTCCCTCTCCGTCTTCTTGATCTTTGCTTCATCCTTCACCCCCCACGGCGAGTCCCATCTCCTCACGCTCACCTTCACTCTGCTTGTTGTTCTAGGTGTCTGCAGAAGAGAAGCCGTTGCGCGATGCGTCGCACCTTGGACCCGGAGCGTCTGACTCCGCCCTGGCATTGACCCTTGACCTCTGGATGATGGTGTGGAGCTGCACGGCCACCAGTACTGTCCTCCTGATGGCCATGTGAACCAGACTGAGGCCTTGCTCAAGACCGCCCACCGAGGGGCCTGCTCGGTCTTCGATTTTTCCAACTTGGGACTCCAGGAGGGTGGTCCCACCCACCGCCATCTTCCTCCGCATCGACTTTGTAGAAAGAGAAGAGGAAAGAAATCCTCATCCCTTGAGCTGGTCTGTGAACGTCTTTCTGGAGAGCAAGGGTGGGCCATCCAGGGAAAGAGTCAACCCTGAACATCTTCAAGAAATCCCGTAGGTGTGCTGAAATCACAAACAGAAACCAATCCACACGAGTGTCTTTTCTTCATCTTTGACCAGCGAGTCAAAGCTGCCTCTCCTTTTTTTTGGGTGCAATGAAGCAGTCTCACTTGAGAACGAGAAGATCTGTCTTCTGAGAAAACCTTCTGTAACCAGGTTGGGATCCACCTTCTCTATGCTTGGCGTGGGAAGACTGCTCCCCCCACGTCAACGTGTGGTATCAAAACTCTACCCAGCCCCCTTGTTTTTCATAAGGCTCAACCTCCCTAGAGTATGTACACAACCCATGCAGAAGGACCTTTCACTAGAGTGATCTAGTGAGAATCAAAAACTAGGGACCATCTTTTGAAATGTGGCTCTTGGTGGGACTCGGTGGGACTTCGCTACAGACGGAAATTGTCCACCCTTCTTATGGGCAACGCATCAGTTGGGGTCAGTTGAGGTTCTTCACCATGACAGCTTTGTATAGGAACTGAAAATTCCCCTACGGGGTTGATGTGTGGTGTGTCTTTCCGGACACATCTCCTCTCCTCAATCCCTTCTCAGAATGGTGGGACAAGACCGTGGGGGTGAAACTTCTCAAAAGAATGTGTAGGATGAACATCTCGCACTAGGTCTCCACGACATGGACATCTCACCTATAAGTCTCCACGAGATGGACACATCCCACATAGGTCTCCACCCATTTTTGAAATGTTGGGGCTCCAAAAGCGAACCCATCGTGGTCGACCCAACCTTTGTTGATAGCAACATGGGTTTCAAAGCAGGAGTTGTGTTTCTCGACAAAAATCACCATGCCGTTCAGCTTGAGCGGTCTTCCCAGAGAAGGGCAGTGCTTTGAGCCGAGACTAAACGATTAAACGAGAACAGATGCTCCATCCGTGGCAACCGATTGATCCCTGCTGATTCACAGCCCCTGCTCACACACACACACACACACCGACCTCACCAGGAGGCCCAGAAGCACCAACGGAGCTACACAACGGTGGCGGTCAATCCTGCTGGGAAGTGTCTCTCGGCTGCTATTCGCGGCAACGATTGATAGCCGTCACGACGCCCCACCACCACGTTCGGACCATCATTATTCTTGCTTGGAGTTATTCAGCCTTTGGAACCGAGGGGGGGGGATGAGGTTGTATGGTTGGGGGGGGTCTTTCTCCATCTCCGGGAAATCGCTCGGAGGCTTTGTCTCCGGGACTCTGCTGCTGCACGGGTGCGCGTGCAGAGGGCGATGTCCTTCTAAAAAGGCCGGGGGGAGGAAATCAAACGTGCCTCAGAAATGTGGCAGACACAGCAATTGCGCTAGATGGAGTGTGGTACCCTCGCAATCCGAGGCGACTGTGGTAAAGTTGAATGTTACCGATGGGTTCAAACGAAGCAAAATGGCCGCCGCGTTGTCTTTCACTCCATCATTCGATGCTCGGTGCACGACGTAAAGAACTCCCTCAGCTCAGCCAGAAATATTCATTTTGCGTTGTTTCACACGAATCTGGGTCCTTGTTTTTGCGGCATTCAACCACTCCGTGTGAATGTGAGGTGGGGGGGAGGTGTCCACAACCAAATGGGGCCGGGCGATAGCAGTCCCGCTTTGCCGTGACACCAGCGCACACAATCCTACTTTAGAGGCCTCGGTTGTGTCTCCGCGATGGCACCACACACACACCCTCGCCGAAGGTTTGCCATCAATCCATTTTTTACGACGGTCCCAGACCAGCGTTACAAATAAAAGCATTAAAACTAGAAACATAATAAAAAAAATTAAAAAGCAGATAAGATAATATGATCAGAGGTGGATTAGGGCTGTTGGAGTCCGCCTAATTTTACATACAGCACGGGTCATCCTCGAGTTACGACCACTGAGCCCAAAATATCAGTCGCTAAGCGAGACCGTCGTTAAAGGGAGTTCTGCCCCCATTTTACAGCCTTTCTTTCCGCCGTTGTTAAGCAAATCACGGCAGTTGTGAAGTTAGGAACACGGTCGTTAAGTGAATCTGGCTTCCCCATTGATGTTGCTTATCAGAAGGTCGCAAAAGGGGATCACATGACCCCGGGACACTGCGACCATCATAAATACGGGTCAGTTGACAAGCATCTGAACTTTGGTCACGTGACCACGGGGATGCTGTAACGGTCGTAAATGCGAAAAACGCTCAAAAGCCCCTTTTTTCAGTGCCGTTGTAACTGAATGGTCACTAAATGAACGGTTGTAAATGGAGGACTGCTCCTATTCGCCTTCCTTCACCGTCTGTGTTATGGTGGGTGTTCTTCTCAGCAAAACAGAAGCTCTTTGTGGACTTCAACTCCCAGAATTCCCCAGCCAGCTGTGTTTGGCTGGGGAATTCTGGGAGTTGAAGTCCACATATCTTCAAGGGACCAAGCTTGAAAAAACATCGTTTTAAAATGGGCCAGGCTGAAAAAACTCTGCTATATAATATCTCTCCTGCACTTCAATCAAGCCATCAGAATAGAGCTGAAAGGGACCTCGGAGGTCTTCTAGTCCAACCCCCGGCGCAAGCAAGGGACCCTGTACGATTGGAGACAAGCCTCTTTTTAAAAACCTCCCGTACGTTTAAGTCAACTTCCTTGCCCCCTAAGCCCATCCCATTGTCTCGAACAAAAAGCATGTCGGAGGAAAAATCTTCATCAGGGTCCAGTCCAAGCTGGGAATGAACGACATGGAGGCTGCTTTAGAAAGAAGATTGCAGCATTTCACGACTCCGTCCGATCTTCTGCACAGCAACGCACGAGATTGAGGAATGTGTCCCTTAAAATAAAAAAGCCAGATCAGAATGAGTTTAGAGCCAGCCTAATCAATAAATAAAAATTACCCCCTAGGATAACTAAAAAGTAAGTCCCAACTTGGAGCAAACGTAACAATGGAATAACTACATTACGCTTCGCTTCTACTATTATTTTCCCCTTATCCAAAGGTAAACATCCAAAGTACCAAATATTCTGGGTTTTTGTTTACTAGCGTACCATTTTAATCGAATGAATAAAATCCAAAGGCTTTATGTATGACATTCTTAATAACAACCTTGGCTCAGCTAAAACTTTCGATCAGCACTTTTATTCACCGAGAAATCACACACGTCCACAATTCCCTTAAAAAGTTTGCGCAAAAAAACCCCGACGTTTCCTTAACGGGTTATAATTCGCAAACACCGATCCTGTTAACAATCCATTTATTTAATGCGGCAAGCTTCAGACCGATTGAAAACAGAATCGGTCTCTCTCTCTCTCTCTACCCATTTTAAAGGACCGATAATACAATTCTTCTTGCCCGCCAGGATATTAAAAGCAACCCATCTGGGTTTTACAAGGGTGTGCGTTTTGCCAAATTAGAATGGAATAGAATGACAAGAGTTGGAAGGGACCTTGGAGGTCTTCTAGTCCAACCCCCCCCCACACACACACTTCTTGGGCAGGAAAAAATCGATCGCCTTGTAAAAATGAACCCACCAGTTAGGCCTTGGGAGGGGTCTCCAAGTGGGGGGGGAGTATCAAAAAAAGATGGTAGATAAAACTGCAATCAAAGCCCCCTCCCACCCACCCCTTTTTTTTTTTTTCTTTTTGCACCAAAGTTTCTCTTTGTGTCCTGGTGTGTGTGTGTGTGTGTGTGTGTGTGTGTGTGTGTGTGTGTGTGTCACGTGATCCCCTTTTGCGTCCTTCTGACAAGCAAAGTCAATAGGGGGAAGTCCCAATTCACTTAACAACCGTGTGGCTAACTTAAACAACCGCAGCGATTCACTTAAGAACCGTGGCGAGAACGGTCGTAAAATGAGGCAAAACTCACTTAACGACCAAGCCACGGAAATTTTAGGCTCATTCAGCTGTGGTCGTGAATTAAGGATTCACCCGTATCCTCAAATTTTAGGTCGGTTAGGAAAGAGGGGGGGGAAATGCAGAAAGTTAAAGGGATACCTATAAAGTCATAATAAAGCATAAAAGGCAGGATATACATTTAATAAATGAAATAAATAATCATTTTATTTTATCCTTATGAACCTTTTTTTTTTCCAGATTTGCAACTGGCTTTATTTTTACCAAGAAAATATGGTTGCTTTACATATGGAGGGGGGAAATGCACTGCTTGTGGGGGGGGGGTGTTTATACTCCTTTAGGGCAACTTTTAAAGACTTGTGAATATCAAATCCCAGAATTCCCCAGAATTTTTGGCAGGGGAATTCTGGGAGTTGAAGTCTTAAAAGTTGCCAAGGTTGGATACCCCAGCCTTACATTTTTCAAGTTTGATGAAGAATCACACGTTAAATCTGCCCTTGGGGGGGGAATCAGATTCAGCTCTTAAGACATAAGGGAAACCGAGTCACAATTAGTACTCCTATTTTGTAGACTGTGTGGAGTTTCTTAGAGCAAAGTGGCTTATAAATCTGCTCAACCCCAAAACAAAACGAGGCCTCCCGACAACACTGGACCCCCCATCTTTTTTTTAAGGGTGCTGCATCCATATTTACCAAAATGAATTTCATTCTTGCATCGGTCAAAAACTGACAAGGGCTGCAGCCTCAACGTAACTGTATTCACACAACCGGCGTAACCCAGATCCTGAATTTGGGGGCTTTGCTCAGAACCCACGAGTTGAATCCCCACAATCAATGACCCACGTTGCAGCCAACCGAGCGTCTGCAGAGGTTGCGGAGCGCGTCACTGACCTGGTTAAAGAGGTTGTGTGAATAGGGCCAGTCTCTAGCCCCGTCCTCCTTGGATCCAGCAAATCGGGGCGAATGCTTCAAG